AAAGTTTTCGTTACGTTAAAAATAGTTTGACTAAGATCATTCGGATTGTAAACAGTTTCAAAGTATTTTTGGAATGCTTGTATCTCTTTGATATGAGTCTTCATACCTTTCTTGATGTGTTCTTGCACAGAGGCAAAAGCTTTTGTTAGTTGTTGAGTAATGAGGGTTGTATCGAACATATTATCGAAATAAAATTTTCTCCACCAATTGTCGAAGCCTTTGGTACAATAGAAGGAAGGTTGGAAAGGAATAAGTTTGAATACAACGAATAGGAATAGTGTTGCATATGTTCTTCTCGTTTAGAGACAGTGAAATGCATTCCTTGAAGGCAAATGGAACTCTTAATTTCGAAAAAAGGTTCAGGATTAGTTGACAAAGACCAAATTATCTAGCGACAAGATTGGGTTGGTAGGAAAGTAAGACGATATGGCTCTTAATATGCTTGAGTCTCGTGGTTATTAATCTTGGAAGTAGAAAAGCTTGGCAAATGGCTAAAGTTTATGCCTCTTGAGATGGTGAAATATTAAAGAGAGACCTTGTAAACCATTCAGGGCCATGTGTTCTCTGAGAAAAATGAGCCATCAAAGGAGTAAAGTTATGGCATTTTGGAAACATCATAACATAACTTGTAAAGCATTCCTCTAAGTTCTTTCCTTCGTCATTTGGAGTCAATTGAACTAACCTGGTTCCCTCAATAGTTCAATTTTTTGATTTCTGGATCAGTTTCGTCTATTTGACCAGAGGTAGAAAGGGAAGGCTCGAAAGTGGCATTTAGCCAAAGTTGAAGAAGCCAGTATAGGCCAGCTAAGAGTATATTGTTCCATACTTTATATGTTTTCAGGTTTTTTGTAGCTTCCCCTAAGAACTCATAAAGTCCAGCTAAAATTATTTCACTAAGGCAAATATTTCGACTAGAGTGAAGGTGGTTGGCTATGGTTAAGAATCTCTTAGCCACTTGTAGAGAGTTGCTGCAGAAAACGCATCGAGACAGCCATAGCGCAAAGAAGGCTATGTGTTCCACGTCTGATACTTCTTCTCCTCCCACATGATGACGAGCAATGTATTTTTTAAAGCTAGCATAGTCTATGTCAAAGTCAATGGTGTTGTCTGTTTGTCTAGTCGGATCAAATATCTCTCTAGTGGGTCGAAGCCCAATTATAGCAGCAATATCAAAAAGAGTAAGAGTGGTCATTTCACAAAGAAGATGAAAGGTGTTATAATAGTGTGACAAAAGTTTAAGGATGCTATTAGCATATGTTGTAAATAGCTTGGTCCTACTTTCGATAACTGAATCAGGTCGAAAATGCCCATGTCTTTCCAGACTTGGGATTTTTTTCTGTTCGACTTTAGCCACCCAGTCGAGATACGGTTTACTATCCTTCGTTGGGCATGATCTAAAAGGCCTAAAATATTCAGTCATATAATCTAAGTGAAAATGTTTTTTTATCTTTACAGTTTCAGAAGGATTCTTTCCTTGAACAGTTTTTGCAGTTGACCCTTGAGGGTTTTTATCAACTTTTTCTCCTGGATTTTTGAGGTTGATAGGTTTGTTAGCTATGGGTCTAGTTGAAAGATAAGTAGGGAAAAATACTATGGTTTTTTATAAATCATCAACATTTACCAAATGACCCATGTATGCTAAATTTTTATCATCAAGGGTAAAAGGAATAATTACCTGGGATGCATAAATCATACATTGTTCTGCAGAGAGCGTGTGCGTTGGCACAAACTCCTTGTTTCCAAACATGGCAGGTTTTTCAATATGACCAACGGGAATGGTAGAAGCGTCTTTATATTTATTTGAATCTTGAGTAGATTTGTTACTTTTCTTGGAAGGTGCCATTGTTAAAGAAGAGTTGGAGTTTATTTGATTGATTTTTAGAGGAAGAAAAATGGAGAAAATCACAAGTTCTTGAAGATTTTTTGGGAGTAGAAAAATGATGATTTGAAGAAGGAGAAGTATTTATAATGAAGGCAGCAAGAAATAATTCAATTTTAATTTTTAAATAATGAAAGATAGTGGGGCACATGTCATGGACTGGTTAGTTAATAATATGGTTACTTTTTAGGGAATGCCACGATTTGTACCTACTTTATTGTAGCAATGAAGAAAATCTGAATTACACACATCTTGATGAGACGTTTGGAAAGATGGTCATCATGACCATAACTTCATAACAGTGATAGTTATTATGAGACGATGTCAAAGGAAGATCAAATTTTCAAAGGGGATGTGAAGCTATTTACTTAAGGTTCGTTCGACTGATTGATTAAAGATATAGCGAAGTCTTATAATTATGGAACATATAAGAACTTAAAGATATTTCAAGTTTCAAATTTCAATAATTCAACAGATCATATCATGATGTTTGGTGCTTTGGATTGAAGGATGATTATGAATTCAAATACCCCGTTCTTATCCCGAAGGATGCGTGGAAGTATGAGGATTTGAGAAAGCATGGAGTGTTGAACGTGGCATGACTATAGTAAAAGACCTTTATGGTTGAAGTAGTACAAATTAGGGTCTTAATGTTAGGTTTTAGTGTGTTCACTTTTGTACAAGTTACTCATAAAACTAGAAGTACCAGTGCTTAGAGAAAAGAATCTTTGAGAATGTACGTATGAATTACCATATTCTAATTAATTATCAGTTTACATTTACTAAAATATCTTTCATCCCTTTTACTTTTAAGTCGAAGTCTCTTTACTTTCCTATAGTCACTTTACATAGAATTTTTGTCTTTTATACTTTAACCATAACCATAAAAAATATGAACATTCGAAAGATATAAACCAACGAAACACAACACATATTCTAGGATCAATCTAGTTGATCCTATAAGTTACCAAAATTTCTAGAATTTGAAAGACTAGCGGTTGTTTAGTAATTTTCACGGTAACACGGTCACAAACAGATTTCGAATAAAAGCTAGGTCTTTCATGGCCATAGCAGCAACAAATTCCTTCAGGGTGTTGGATACTAGAGAGGGAAAAATGGCAGGGAGCAGGAAAAAAGGATTAAAAGCCTCTGACTCAACATCCTCTGACAAAGGAGCCCATTTAGAAGAACCTCTTCAAAAAGAGTGGATGGGAAGTCACATCGGTTCCTCTTGATAGGAGAAAGGGATGGTGAGGCTCATGAACAGAGAGGTCAGCCTCCATTCTAGTATGTTGTTCCACTCAAGAGTTTTACTTGGGATAATAGTCACAATCTTTTGTCGGGGTAGCAACTGTAGCCAGTGTCTGAACCACCATAACAAGGGTAGGCGCAGTAGCATAAGTCTCCATCACATGACCTAATGAGTCGACCGTAAGACTCTGGTCCTTGGCAAGCACGAAAACCTTATGCAACCAATTCATGTTATCTGCAAGATAAAAGTTACACTTTAAAAAAAAGGGTGCCCCTCGTTCCCATCCTAACCAAAGAGTTCTCGCCTCTCTGCATGGTCTAGCGCACTGATAATCACATAAGTATGAATTTATTTTTTCTTTCACTAAGAATGAGGCACTTTGTCCGGACCAAATCCTTCTTCATAACCGATCCCTTGATATCAAGCACACAAACCCTTCCTCATTTTTACCTCTTTGGAAGATAGATGACTTAGCTCGGTATGGTAAAAAGAAAAGGGCCGACACAAGTGAACTCGAGACTAGTACTTGAAAAAGCCACTCTTGAAGGAGCGAGTGAATCCAACTCGGGCCGAGGACGAACAAAATTTAAAGTGAGCCTTGGGAGTAATAGGTTTCACTAGCATGAAACATTTAAGAAAATTACCCCAATCATTAGTAAGAGAATCAAACAAAGGGACATTGGAACGAAAGAAGATCAATCCCTAATCCCGAGCGTAATCTTGATAGGAGTGAGCCAAGAGGAGTTACACCATTCTTGACAACTTCAAAAACATCTTGGTAGCCAAACTACACCTTCATTTACTTGCATCATTTGCCGTAATTCTTCGATTCAAAGGTTAGTAGTTTTATGGGGACTCTATCAATGAAGACGATACTCACCTTTGGACAGTGAAGTATGTATCAGAACTAGACTCTTGATGCCAAATGTTAGAGCATATAATTACACCATTTATAAATCAATGGAGGTTTTGTGATTGTGGGAGAAGAAGAAGAAGAAGAAGAAGAAGAAGAAGAAGAAGAGAGAGAGAGAGAGAGAGAGAGAGAGAGAGAGAGAGAGAGAGAGAGAGAGAGAGAGAGAGAGAGAGAGTTGATTTCTTCATTAATATTGAGATGAAATGTCTCCAAAACATTTATAGAAGTGATGTTCAAGAGAGAGAATTGATTTATTCATTAATATTGAGATGAAATGTCTCCAAAACATTTATAGAAGTGATGTTCAACAATTAAGAACAAAAACAAACAACTAAAAACCTAAAAAGTTAAAAAAAATCGGACTGATAACCGGTTAACACAAACCATTAACCAATTACCACTGAAACAATAAAATCAACACAGGTATAACCGGTTACCACAACTTAAAAATAGCTTTTCTCTTCTCCACCCTTTAACCAGTTATCATCCCGTGTTAATCGATTACATCCTTTGAATTATGGAAATTTCATCCAACACGTCTAGGCTAGTTGTTCAGTAATTAAAACACACTTAATAAATAAATAAAAACAGAAATATTGTGGAATCGTATCTATATACAGAAAAGTCACTTTTGTTGTTTAGTGATAAGTAAATGGCATACTTTTACTAACTTGCACTTTCTGCAGCGACTTTAGGAGCACAAGTCCATTTACTAGCATACACTCTTCTTACACACTCTTCTTACGCTCAATCGATCAACACGCTAATACCATAGACCTCTTCCTTCTTATTCAAATTCAAATTCCATTTATTCACACCTATTGATGCATGTTTCTTTATAAGTAACCATAGTACAAGTCATTAATCTTCAATATTGATTCAAATCAACTATATATATCCACAATTTATTTTTAACATTATTACATGAATGTAAGTGTATAACTACTATACTAAAAATGGATCATCAACATCATGGAATAACCACAGGTCAAACTAAAACCCTAGCATCATCATCATCAATATCATCTTCAACTTCAAGTGGTAATAATGATGATAACAAGAAGAAGATGTATAGAGGTGTGAGAAAAAGGAAGTGGGGAAAATGGGTGTCTGAAATAAGACTACCAAATAGCCGAGAAAGAATATGGTTAGGATCATATGATTCGCCTCAGAAAGCAGCAAGAGCGTTCGACGCTGCACTTTACTGTCTTCGTGGTCGCCATGCAACTTTCAATTTCTCTGATTCACCTTTTCATTTGGAAAACACTGCACTTTCTAACCATCCACAACAGATTCGAGAGATTGCTGCTAACTTTGGCAACAAAAATCCACCAATTGTTATCGATAGTAATAGTAATAGTAACAATAATAATGGAAATAATATCACACATCAATCCAAAACTGTGACTGAAATTATTGGCTCTTCGACTTCTACTACTAGTACTACTGCTGTGTATGATAGTGGGAACACTATTGATTGGACATTTTTGAACGTGTTAGAAGATGGTTCAAGTAATGATGCTACTTTAGTTGGGTCTGAAAATTATGGTGATTTCTATTTTGACTTAGAAAAGATGCATTCGGATGAGTTATTATCGTATTACACTTCACCAGTTTTTGAGGATAATACTAATCAGAATGAATTAGTAGAAGATGATGGTAAGCACCATTCATTCCTTTGGAGCTGGAACTTCTGAATCTTGATTCTCCGGTCTAGCTACTTTTGATAAATTTTAACTATTTTTTGCTATATATTATTATAATCGCAATAAACTAGCAGTGGTTGGATGGTGAAGTAAAACGATCTTCAATGAATCATTTTATTTTTCAAAAAACTCTTTTAAAAAAAAGAATTAATGGTTTTGATTTAAAAAATTAGTATAAATTTTTTCTTTTTGCTTAGTTAATGTAAAGTATACCTCTCAATAGTTATATGAGTTTGTTTAATCAATGCTAGAAGGTTAATGTTTTTCAACACTTTGTAAACAATATTTGAGTTGTGAGATGAGGTAAAGGTGATGATGAGAAGCAGTTATAACAAAAAGTGGATGTGGCCGCCATTGACGTTGAGATAGAGAAAAAGGATGCACACAAAGAAAGAATGGAATATTTTAGTGAAACTCACGTAGAGAAAAGGATAAGGTGGGACTGGGAAGCATCGTGATCTGAGTGGTCCAACAACACTTTCAAAATTTGCAAAATAAGAGAGACATCCATGATATCTTATCGATATCTTGTCGACATCGACCTACAGACTATTTTACCCACGTGCACTATATTTTATTGAGAAAAACAAAACAATTCGATAATATTGAAATGAAATGGCATGACATATATAATATTTTGTACATCCAGGGTCATAAAGAGAGAAACCACCCTTTTATAAGGCGATTTGACTTAAACGTTCCACTTCTCTGTGTTTTGCGTTTGGAGAACTATATACAATCAAGAAAAATATCTTAGGCTGAATCAATATAGATAGACTTGTGAAGTAAGAGAGTCTGCCCCAATCCTTACTAGAATAAAGGTCTCAACAGAGTCGTTTAGTCAAGACACCTGTAGGGATCCTTAAGGGTCGCTTACTCAAGGCGTTCTTAGGGGATCTAGATTGTCACAGAAAGAGATCTTCGAGGACGCCCCTACAAGAACTTCACACTAGCTCGCTCGGACTTCGGTGAGACCGGACAACGCTCTTGAATGACTATTAAGATCGTATTTAATAGTATTAAATATATACACGAGAATAAAATCCAATCATGGCCATAAACTCATGAATAATTTTTATAATTAGCGAGCATTATATATAGAACCTTCTTCCCTTGGAGGATGACAAGCAATCTATAAAATGTGAAACACAAACTTCACTGTGACTTCTCCTGACCCGCACCGAGGAAGTTAACAATATTGTTCTGCATGAACAGTTGGCATCGTCTGTGGGAAGAGGTAAAACTTTCCTACTTCCACATCAAAATTGCAAACAAATGTGGTTCACGCCACCAGAATACGAATGACAGCTGCGAACAAGGACAATAGATCGCGATGGAGGAGCTGTCTGCAGCGATAGAGCTTCTGCGCCAGGAGAACAAACAGCTCCAAGGCACCGTTCACGATCTGTAGCAGAATCAACAAGACCTTCACCCAGGAGGAAAGTCACCGGCCCGACCACGAAGGGCGAGCTGATGGCCAATTGGGAGGGACCTTTTCGAAACAAGGAGGAGCTACAACACGAAGCCTACAAACTCGAGCACCTGGATGGAAGAGACATACCTCGGACTTTGAACGCTGAAAGCCTGAGATAGTATTTCAGTTAAAGATCAGTAGCTCACCATTCTCAAAGTGTGATTTGTTGCAGTTTTAGTTTTCGGATTTTGTCTTTTACAGTTCCATTTTTTGCATTTGGATATTTTTCATTGTATAATAAAACTTTGACGTTAATAATAATGTACGACCGGGAAAAGGAATATTTCCCTCTACAAGGGTAGGGTTTTTAATGAGGCTCTCTCGACGTCAACCAGGATCAGATTTAACCCAAGACCTCCACTGGAGGCGATTTAACCCAAGACCTCCATAAGGGGCGACTGTGGGCGATTTAACCCAAGATCTCCACTGGGGGAGATTTAACCCAAGACCTCTACATGGGGTGATTTAACCCAAGACCTCTACAAGGGGCGATTTAACCAATGACTTACATAGGGGGTGATTTATACAAGACCACCACGAAGTACGATTTAACTCCAAAATCTCCACAGAGGGCGATTTAACACAAGACCTCTACTAAAGGCTAAATCGTCATTTCAAAACGCGTTTGGAGAGGAACATGAAGGACAAGAATCTAAGAATACTAGCTAGCAGAGCAAATATCTTCCTGCCTCTCTCAACGCTGCCACTTCAAAATGCATTTGGAGAGGAACAAGAAGGACAAGGATCTAAGAATCCTAGATAGCATAACGGATACCTTCCCGCCTCTCTCAATATCTCCACTTCAAAAGCTATTGGAGAGGAACATGAAGGGCAAGGATCTAAGAATCCTAGCCAGCAGGGTAGATACATTCCCTTCTCTCTCAACACTGCCACTTTAAAACGCATTTCGAGAGGAACAATAAGGACTAGGATCTAAGAATCCTAGCTAGCATAGCGGATACCTTCCCGCCTCTCTCAAAGTCGCCACTTCAAAATCGTTTGGAGAGGAACAGGAAGGGAAAGGATCTAAGAATCCTAGCCAGCAGAGTAGATACCTTTCCTCCTCTCTCAACGATGTCACTTAAAAAGGAATTTGGAGAGGAACGAGAATGACAAGGATCTAAGAATCCTAACTCGTAGGGAAACTGCCTACCCGCCTCTCATTACAACATCATTTTGGTAAGTGTTTGGAGAGCAACATGAAGGAAAAGGATCTAAGAATCCTAATTCGTATAACTAATTCCTACCCTTCTCTCATGAAAACATATTTTTGGGAAGCATTTGAAGAGGAATATGAAGGACAGGGATCGAAGAATCCTAGATAGTATAACAAATACCTTCACGCCTCTCTCGATGTCACCACTTCAAAATCGTTTAGAGAGGAACAAGAAGAAAAAGGATAAAAGAATCCTAGCCTATAAAGCGGGTATTAATTGAAGGTCAGAGAACCCTAACAATTGGTTCACCACTCGTCACTTTCACCAAGTTCGGTATGAAAAACAAGCATACAACTTTAAGCCTAAGAGTAGGACTTAACTACTTTGAAGATTCGCAAGGCGAATATATGATCGCCCGTAGAACTTTCAGGTCGGGGAAAGAAACTAAGTCGTTCGAAATTGTTCCAAATAGAGGAAATGAGAAAACTCCTATGAGCATTCCAAGCGAGATCAACAAGGGGTAATCAATTAGAAAAAAGTAAATAGTTGAAACGTCAGATATACAAAACATACGTCTCATTAAACATAAACCAAGTTCAAAAAGGGTACGCACCCCAAAAGTAAAAACATTAATCCATACTTAAACAATCGGGTTTCAAAACAAAATAACCCAAATAAAGTTTACAAATAATCAGGCACCCTCTTCAGGAGTGTCCTGCACAAATCCTCCATCAAGTTGATGCTCATCTTCTACGTCCCGAGAATGTTGTCTGTCAATTTCATTATAAAGGGGATTTTGATCCAAGTCCGCCTCTATAGTCGGGCTCCCCTCTGGGTCCTCCTCCAGCACCAACTTGCCATCCTTAATTATCTTAAAATAACCCAGCTTGTACATATCAGAGGATGGATGCAAAAATTGGACTTGCTCTTTAGCCTTATCAAATAAGAGATCCCTAACCAACAAACTCTCCATAACAGAAACATCCACATTACCTTCCCAACATTCGATTTCCTCATCACAGCTTGCCAAATCGGCCTGAAGAATCTATTTATCCTTCTCAGACTCAAAAAGTTTTCTCTACAGACATTCCTCCAAAGTCTTCTTCCCCGCCTTGAGCTCAGTCAACTATTTTTATAGAGCAAAAAACACACTCCTGGGGAGGCAAAAGCATGGAACACTACAAGTCCCGCTCTTCAGCCATACCCCGCACCTGAATCTTCAGCGATTCCTCGCCCTACTCCAAGGAATGGGAAGTCTTGAACATAGCCCTGCTAAGCAGAACAACCTTCATCAAATAAGTGACAATGTTTTGGATTAGTTTTTATGTGATCTAACGACTGAGACCTCTTGACATCAACATCCACCTTCAGGTGATCATACATGAAACAAAGTCCATCAAATGAGGATGCTCGTAAGTTAAATTCATCAGAGTCGACATTCGACGCATCAACCTTGGTAGACGCTCTGGCACCGCTGAGAAAACACTTCAGCTCGTTGTCAGGAACGACCTGAGCTGATTTCTCCAAAGGATTTTTCCCAATATCTTCCAATGCTTTCCTCCCCAAGGTAGTTTTTCTTTTCTTTGGGGAGGGTCGGGGAGTTTGGTCACCCGCAGAGGTCGAACTTTGTTGGTGAACTTCATCAACCCCAACTTTTCTCTTCTCTAGAGCATGTGAGACACATATACATACACCCTCAGGGTCACTCTTTTTCACCGATTGGTTCCCCCATAGAGCCTTTGCTTTCCCCAAAAGCGCCATTCTTTCCTTGATGTTCATATTTGACACCCTCTCTGCAAAAATAAAAAGAAGTGGACTAGTAACCCTTCTACGACAACTGAACATTGATTAAAAAGTACAAAAAAAAATCACAAATGAGATAACCCCCCTGAAAATAGGGTTCCCCTTACCTATGAAGCTTCGAAGACTAACCATGTCGTCGTCATAGTCTAAAACATCATGGACCATCATCCTCCAAAGGAACAAAAAGTTTCAACCACGTCTCTCTCCTACTCACTTAGCCGGTTAGGGCCATAACCTATAACAGTAACGGAATCCTGCATCCATAAGAGATGAAAACGCCTCGAACTATCCTCACTATAGAGGACCCTAGGGCAACTGTTGCTTCCCAACACCCTAAAAAACTTATCTTTGTGGTTTTTGAAATTAGAATAGTGCACTTGAAACGGGCCCCGCCTTGATAGATCGGAAACCGAAACACAACTCTTTTTACCCACACCCTTGGACTTATAAAAAGTAAAGAAAACCCCCAAGGTTGGTTCCACATCCAGGGCGTCACAAATAATATTGAACGATCTAACAAAAACCCAGTTGTTCAATTGAAATTGTGTAGGGGTGAC